ATTTGTCCTGGAAAGGGTTAAACCAGGTGGCTCCTTGGAGGCAAGGATTCTGAGGCTCCGTCTAACATACTTTGGACATGTTGTGAGGAGGGACCGGTCCCTGGAGAGGGGTATCATGCTTGGGAGGGTGGAGGGAAAGTGCAGGAGAGGAAGGCCCTCTATGAGATGGATTGATTCAGTGACTGGTATAATTGGGATGGGAGTGTCAGAGACAGTGAGATTGGCACAGGACAAAGAGGAGTTTAAGACTGTTGTACATAGGGTCTCGACGGCACATAACAACAACAATAACAACAACAACCACCACCACCACCTCTATTCTTGTCTCACCCACCCTCTTCTTTCCATTCCCAAAAGCTCTACTCAGCTCCACCGCCCTACGGTCTTCACAAGGTGGTTCCCAAGGATGCTTTCACCCACAAAGCTCCCCCAAACTGGGGTCTTCATGCTTGTGTTTCCCAGGGCTCCCACTGCACCTCTCCCCATTCTCTGCATCAACCCTCCCTTGTCCCTCATGGGTCTCAGCATCCAGGACGACTCTCATTACCCTTTCAAGAGAAAGCCTCTTCCACTAATTTCTATTTCAACTTGATCACTTTAAGGCACTTATTGTGATTTGTAAGTGCTTTATTTGATTTGTTTTCTTGCTATTGTACAATTCGCCCTCTCCTTTATAAACTCCATGAGGAGAAATAAGCTGAAGTCTGCCCCACGGTGTCACCAGCATCCAGTGTAGGTTCTCAACAGATCGCTCACAAAAGCCATTATTTTTTGGTAGTAGCATCTCCAAGAACTAGGAAATCTCTCTGCTTTTGAATTTGGATCCCAAGGCAACCTTTCTCCTTGTTAACAAGTAATTCCTTTCCAGGTTTATGGCTCAGAGAGAAGAAAAGGCAATCACAGGCAGCTTGTGTCAGAAACATCTTCGGGCAGAAAGAGGATGTCAAGCCACATCTCAGTCCTGGTACCCAGCACTGCAGCCTCAGGCCTTGGGGTTTTGAAGTCCTTCTTAGGGTCCATTTGCTCTTTTCGTCTTTAAGGCCCCTGAGCCTCTCTCAGGCCTCCCAAACCTACACCCATAACTCCTGGCTGCTCTGAAGCTGAAGGCACACTAGAGGTCAGAGCTGGGTTAGCAGGTGGGCCTTGGCAGGCCTGGGAGGGTGGAGGAATTGTGAGAATGTGGCTGCAGTGGAAAGATGTAGTCTCTCACAGAACCCATCGGCATGTGCTTGGGAAGAGGGCAAAGGGACACGGTTCTAAAGACATTTACTTTGGATTTCACTTTTCCAAGGCCCCAGGTTCTCCTAAATTCTAGTTCTTGGATCTTGCAATAGCAAGAGTTCCTCACTCCTCCTTCAGCCACTGCAATAGCTGAGGGGTGTAGTAGGTGATGATGATGTCGGCACCTGTAGTGGGAGAGAAAAACAGGGAATGAGAATAGAGGTGAATGGGTGGGAGAAGGGCCTCTGCCCACCAGCAGAGGCACAGCCTAGGAGTGTCATGGCGCAGCTTCAAGCCCAGCTCCAGTCAGTTCTAGCTCTCTATGTTGTGTGATCCTGGAAAGTAACTTATTCTTTGTGGGACTCAGTTTGCCCACGCATGGTGCAGAAAACAGACAAGTGGTAAAGTGCCCTTCTCACACTGGTGTGGACACTAACAAAATCAGCTCCCTCTGATCAGTATGTGTCAGTTACACACATTATTGAGGTTGTTAACAGTTTCAGCTTGTTCAGCTCCACAATCAACACTCTTGGCACCAGCAGTTAGGAAATTAAAAAAAAATGCATTGGGGAACATCTGCTGCCAGGGACCTCTCCAAAGTTCTAAAGAGAGATAATGTCAGTCGACAGACGAAGGTGCACCTGATCCGGGTCATGGTCTTCAGTATTATTTGCTATGCATCAGAGAGCTGGGCAATGACTAAGGAGGACAGAAGAAGAACTGATGCTTTGAGTTGTGGTGCTGGAGAAGAGTATTGAATATACTATGGACAGCCAAGAGAACAAACAGGTCTATCTTGGAGAGGGTGAAACCAAGTTTCTCCTTGGAGGCTAGGATTTTGAAGCTCCATCTTACATAATTTGGGCATGTGGCCATTAGGGACCAGTCCTTGCAGAAGGACATCATGGAAGGGTAGAAGGACACAGGAAAGGAAGATCCCGGATGAGATGAATGACACAGTAACTGGGGTAACAGGGGTTGTTGGTATGTCATAATCAGTGAGACTGGCTCAGGACAGGGCAGGCTTCAGAGCTATTGAACATAGGGTCGCTATGGGTCGCAGGTGACTTGAAGGCACAGAACAACAATCCTCCTGACTAGCATCCACCAGGTCACAGAAGTGGCTTGTCCAAGGTGTCAGTGGTGGAGAGCACTGCTTTCTCCACCCTTCCATGCTCCATTCTGCAGTTCCCTTCTCAGATTGTGTTTAATCACTCGTATTTCTTGGCTACCTTGTGACTTTACCTGGATGAAGCACCTTAGGTCAAAACCACCCCCCAACATGTGCTCACCTGCTCTTCGGAAAGCAGTCATGACCTCTAGCACGGCAGCCTTGAGGTTGAATGCCCCAGCCTGGGCTCCATGCCACAGCATGGCAAACTCTCCAGAGACGTGGTATACAGCGAGGGGGAGCTCTGGGTGCTGCGGAGAGGCAGACAAAGTTGCAGTGGAGGCTGGAGGTGCCTCTCCGAGTGTCCTTCCTTCCTCATCTTTACTATCCTGTGCCCTAAGACACTGGTGATGGCTGAGCAGAAATGGGGAGGAGAAAATCCCCCCTCAGGGGCAGAACCCTCCTAACTCAGAGACTCTTAGTCTAAGGTGGAGGAGTCTGTGAGGAAAAACCCTCCTCTCCCACCTTAGCTGTGTGCTCACCTTCTCCTTTACCTCCCGCACAATGTCCAGGTAGGGCAGTCCTGGCTTCACCATGAGCATGTCAGCGCCTTCCCGTACATCCCGGTCCTAAGGGATGAGGGTAGGGTGTGAGCAGGGCCAAGGCGTGGCGGGAAGTGGGGAGCAGGAAAGGCTGGCGGGGTTCAAGCTCTGGTCACTCACCACTGCTCGGAGGGCCAGGCCGCGCGCTCCAGGGGGCAGCTGGTAGCAGCGGCGATCTCCAAAAGTTGGGCTTGACTGAGCTGCATCCCTGGGAAGCAGAGTCATCAAGCTGGGCTCCAGCTGTGGGCTAAAGGCCCAGGGATTGAATGGCAGACCTCAACTGTCCCCACTTACCGGAAAGGGCCATAGAAACAGGAAGCGAACTTGGCACTGTAGCTCATCACTGACACCTGCAGGAAACAATGGGCCTGGGCTCAGCTAGTCCTTTCTAGATGCCTCAGGGTGATGTGACAGACAGAGAGGGCCTAGACTGGGGAGAAGGGGGCCCATGTTCTAGTCCCAGACCCGCAGCACCGGGCTGGGCCTTGATTTCCTCATTTGAGGTACAGGTTGAGGCAGATTCCAAAGGTGTCACCTGGCACTGTCTTCAGTTCTGTGATTCTTGGCGACTACAGTGAGCAGGGCTGCTCAGGTTCTCTCCTCACCTCCCTGTTGCCCTCCTGGGCATGGTCTGCAATCCCTGATCCCTACCCTGTTGCCAAGTCCATGAGCCAGCAGGGCCTCCTTGATGGCTTCCACGCGTCCATCCATCATGTCTGACGGGGCCACCACTTGACATCCTAGGGGCAGAGGGTAGACTTCACACATCTGGGACCCTCCTGTTTACTCTGCCTCTCCCTAATGGTGAGCTCACTCACCTGCCTTCGCATAGGCCAGTGCCACCTCTGCCAGTCGCTGGCGGCTCTCCTCTGCCTGGAATGCTCCGTTCTCACTCAGGAGCCCTGTGGGATAGACGGCTGGGTTTTGGGTACCACTTTGGGCTCTGGACTAACCTACCCCGAGAGAGAAGTGACAGTTGGGATGCAGGTGGCAACAGGGCTGGCAGAGGACTAAGCTCACCACAGTGACCATGGGAGGTATAGGGGCATAAACAGACATCACAGGCCACCAGGAGACTGGGGAAGGTCTTCCGCAACAGGCGGGTTGCCTCGATGGCTGGAGAGTCCTCGGAATCAGCTGCAGAGCCCCGCTCATCCTAGGGGAAGAGGAAGGACAGAGTACTGTGTGTGCTATAGGAAGACGTGACACCCGGCCACCAGAGTGCTGCCCAGCCCTTTCTATTATCACCATTATGCCCCTGGATAGGGAAGCACAGACCAGGCTGTCCCCATTTTACAGAGAAGCAGCAGAGGCCCACACAGGGAGCTCAATTTGCCATTCGGGGTGACTCTTCATGGGTACAGTCTGAGGGTAGAGACTGACTGTTCATCAGTGACCCCAGTACCAACAGAGGGCTTGAGCTAGGATCTGGTCGTGTGGAAGCTCAGCTCACCTTCACCCATTCTCCTCTCCCTTCCCTTCTCAACCCTTTTTCTGATTCTCTACCTTGGGAACTTTGCTGGGGACGCCAAAGATCAAGACGCAGCGCAGGCCCTCCTCCACTAGGGGCTTCAGCATCTCTTCGAGCCGGTTCACACCATACCTGGGTAGATACGATGAAATGTGACAGGTCCCAGGCGGGGGTCTCCCTCACTCCCAGCATCATGCCTTGTAGGAGCCAAGTTGCACACAGCACCATAAGGATTCAAGTCCTACTGCCACACTTCAGGGAGAGGATGGAATGGAACACACCCAATAAACAGGTGGAGAAATCATGCCCAAGTAACAGAGCTGTGGTATTCAACTATGCGAGGCTCTCTTGTTGAACTTCCATCTGAAGGCCAGAGCCCTCTGCAACAACCTAATCCATCCGGCATCTGGTCTTTGCTCTGATGCATTTCATGACTAGGAGCTTGCTATTTTGTAAGGCTCTCTCTCCTACCTCCACTCGTGAAACTTCTACCTCCATTATCCATCCCTATTCGCTCCTCATCACATCTCTCACCTGGCCACTCCTGGGAGGCTGGCGATTGGCTGCACGTCATCAGGAACATCCCTGTAAGAGAAGGTGTGGGCTATTGACTGGTAGCTGTGGGAAGGATCCATGAGTGAGGAGGTGACTGGTGAGAATGAATGAGGAGAGGGAAGGAATAAAGAAGGGGAGATGGTGGGAGAACAGGACCCAGTGTCTGGTCCCCCGCCTAGCCAAGCCCCGGGCCTGAAATAATAACAGGGACAAGACTAACAGTACCCACAAGGGCAGGTACACTAACAGAATAGTCAAAGGAGAAAGGCAAATGGTTTAGAACTTGACTGATAACCCTTTCTTTTAAGTTCAGCTTTGTAATTTAGTGATTGGATGGGGTTGGCCAAATTAAATCTCAGATCATTCTTCTGTATCCTAGGTGGACTCATTCATTCAGTATTTATTGAGCACTTGGTATATGCCAGGCATTGTTCAGTGAACAAAGACAAAATTCCTGCCTTCATAGGACAGATAAAAATGAGACCTACTTCTGAATTTTTTCAAGGCTGAATGAGATGAAATGTGTAAATGTTTAGCATAGTGCCTGGAACACAAGCTGCAGGTGGTGTTGTTAGGTGCTGTCAAGTCGAGCACGACTCATAGAGACCCTATGAACAAAACATCTAAACCCTGGTTTGTCCTGTGCAATCCTCACACTTCCTGACATACAAAAGCCCATTGCAGAAGTCAATGTATCAGTCCACCTGGTTGCGGGTCTTCCTCTCCATCTCCAACCCTCCACCCTTCCCAGCATCATGTCCTTCTCCATGGATTAGACCCTGCTAGCAACATGTGCAAAGAATGTGAGGTGAAGCTTCATCATTCTTACCTCCAAGGAGCACTCTAGCTGCACCCTCTCCAAGACATACCTGTTTGTTTTCTTGGCCCTCCATGGGATGTTCAGTGCTCTCTCCAACCACAGCTCAAAGGTATCAATTCTTTTTCTGTCATCCTTATTCACGGTCCAGCTCTCAGTTGCATAGCAAGTAATTGGAAAGACTATGGCCTGAATCAGATGCACCTTAGTCCTCAAACTGACATTATTACTCCTCAAATAATCTGGAGAGGTCCCTAATGGACAACTTTCCCAGTTCAATACATCTCCTTATTTCTTGACTGCTAGTATGAAGGGTGTTAATTGTGTATCCAAAAAAGATGAAGTGACAGTTTCAATCCCCTCTCCATCCATCATGATGCTGCCGATGAATTTTTATTTTCCTGACATTGAGATGTAATCCATACTGAAGGCTGCATTCCTTGATTTCCTGCAACAAGTGCTTCAAGTCCTACTCACTTTCAGCAAGCAAGGTTTTTTGTCACTTGCATAACGCAGGTTACTGATGAGTCTATCTCCAAACCTGATGCCACACTCCTCCTCACAGAGTCAGGCTTCTCAGATAATCTGCTCAGTATACAGACTGAACAGGTATGGAGAGAGAATACAACCCTGGTGCATTCCCTTCCCAATTCCACACCATTCAGTGTTCCCCTGCTCCATTTGCACAATAGCCTCCTGGTTCAGGTATAGGTTCTGGATAAGTACAATCAAGTACTCTAGGATTCCCATTCTCCTCAATGTCAACCACACTTGTTATGATTCACATAATCAAATGCCTCTGAATAGCCAATAAACCACAAACAAACATTTTTCTGGTATTCTTTATTTTCAGCCAGCATCTGACATCAGCAATGAGATCCCTAGTGCCACAGTGTCTTTTAAATCCTGCTTGAACTCCTGGCAGTTCCCTATCTATATACTGTTTCAGCCATTTTTTTAATGATCTTCAACAGTATTTTGCTTGCATGTGATATCAATATTGTTCAATAGTTTCTACATTCTGTTGGATCACCTTTCTTGGGGTATACAAGTAAGCACTCAATAAATGTCAGCTGTTATGATTATTAATAATCATAATGGCCATCTCTTGTATGTACAAGCATTTTGCAATGAGCAAAGCACCTTATCTCTTAAGATGCAGAAGCTCAGGAAGGCAGGAAAGAGCTATTCTCATTTACTAACATGAGTTGGTGTTGTGACTCATAGTTAACTCTCCAGCAGGTTTGTAGAGGCTGTAAACTGCATGAGGAGACTGCCAGTCTTTCTCCCTTGGACTAGCTAGGGGATTAGAACTGTCTGTTTTTTAGGCGGCAGTGCAGATTCTTACCCCTAGACCAACAGTGCTCCCTTACCAGCATGAGAAACATTTCACTCTTTCCAAAGTTTATTTTGCTCCTAAGACTGTCCTTAACACAGTTGGTCATTTCCAGTAGAAGGGTCATCTGCGTTCCAAGCTGACAGCCCACCATACCCGCCAACAATACTGACACCTGCCCCACCCTGATGGACCTGAGGCTTGGCCCATTCTCAGGAACTCACGTGACAAAGATAGGATAGATGAGGTTGGAGGCGTTGAGGGTGGTGGTGGCTGTCTGCCAGGCCCGAAGCAGAGGGTGGAAGTAGCCACTGTGCAGGACAGACTGGGGTTGCATGGTGTGGCCTCAGTGGGGGAACAGCCAGACTCAAGGACTCCTAAGGTGTCCGCAGTGTGCTGAGCCCTGTGGAATAACAAGGAGGTACATAAGACATAGTCCCTGGCTCCAGGAGCTGGCCACACCTCCCTCACCCAAACTCTCCGCTGTTCCACAGGCCAGTGCTACTCAGAGTGTGGTCCACCAAGCCCTCCTGCTGTGTAGGAAAATGAATGTAAGCCTTTTGGACAAATCAACAACAAAAACAACAACAACAACAAAATCACCTCTAAAACAACTTTACATCTATTAACTAACACTAGAAAAACTGGGCTTTTATTTTGTATGGCTACTTTCAAAAATAAATACTATTTTTCTATTAATTTATTTCCATCATAGTCTATCAAAGAATCTGGCTATAACTGGGGTGGGGGGAAGCAAGAACCAGTTTCCTCTCTCAGTCTGAGAAGCATTGATTGGGTCCACATTTAAACATAGTCTATTCCATGAGAAAGGCTGTATCGATGGCAGAAATTTTAGAAAGTTACAGATAAGCAGAAAGAAATCTCTCTTGTAAATCTACTTCCAGAGAACAGCATAGCGGACACTATGGTACATGGACTTTGTATCAGGCATGACACACAGTAAGATGACAGGATAATATCAACAGATATGCACACAGAGACACAGAGACACATAGAAACACATACATACACTCCCCCCGGGCTTTGTTCTGTCCTGTTCCCTGTACCTAGAAGGTTCTTGCTCTTTCATTCTCCACATGTCCAAACCCTGTCAGTTCTTCACAAGATGCCCCCCTCCCCTCTCCCATCCTAAGCTTCTCTTCCTGCCAAGATCACAAGCTCTTCTGCAACAGTTCTTTGTAGATTTATCTAGTCCCAGTCGAAAGAGCTCATGCAGGGCAGGGTCCACTCTTCTTTTTCTTTGCCTCCCCCATGGCACTCTGCCCTGGGTCTGGCACACAGCAAGTACTTAGTTACACGATGTACAAGGAAACACAAGCCCTGACCGCCCAATAAGTAACCTAGTCCAGAAGGAAGTTGGGGCACTGATGCCGTTTTTTGAGAACCAACTTAGTGAGTGTGCCAGGCCACACTGGGTCTGAAGTTCACACAACAGTCCTGGGGGATAGAACTTACTGTATGCATTTCCGAGAGGAGGGCCCTGATCATAAATGAAAGAGGAGTATTAGAACATGGGTTAGATGGACACAAGAAGCTTCCGGGAAGAAGATGAGGGCATGAACTCAGTTCTGCAGGATGAGAGGAAAGCGGAGAGCATTTCCTCAGGAAGGGAAGCAAGTGGCAACCTGGGTTAGAAGGAGTACTTAGCCATGGACTGTTCTAGGGGCAGTCAGAAGCCATGTGTGCATGTGAAGAAGGGAAGGAGCAGATAGGAGGAGACGTGGCCAGGGCTGGTGAGGACCCCAGAGAATGCAGACTGAGGAAGATTTCTGAACAGAGGGCAGGAAGTCTGGCCAGAGATGTTGTCAGGAAGATATATTCTGCAGCCTGAGAACAGCAGCCGGGAAGCAGAGGAGCAAGGAGGCTTGGAGATCAGACGAGCACAAAAAGGTCAGCTTAAGGTGGAGGACAGCCAAGAAGAAATAGTGGGGCGGATGTGGACAGACACAGGGCAGGAAGAGGTGGTGGGGAACTGGACTGAGAAGAAGCGGGAGAGCTTCGTTTTGAAAACTTCCTTTGGGAAATGTCTGGGGAGTAACCAAGTGGGAGGGGGAGAAAAAGAGTGAGCCAATGTGGGAGCTGAGAGGCACTTACCCAAGGTCGCACAGCAAGTTAGAGGCTAACAGAGCAGGGTTAGGATCCTGGTGTGTGCACTCTCAGGCAGGAGAATCCTTTTCTTCACTGAGGCCCCCTTTCTCCACAGCCTCCCAGGCCCCTTCAGCTCCCTCACTACAAGCGGGGATGGCGTGATGGGGCACTTTATCAGGTCTTCCTCCTTGGTGGGGTTGAAGTTATCAAGAGCCACACACACATGCGCGTGCTCATACACACAGGGACCCGCCCTGTCACCTCCTCCTGAACTACCCTCACCACCTGACAGACACATCAGGCCAGGACTCCCCAAAGATGTCATCATACCACTAAGCCTCATTCCCCAAATAAGCAATTACTCAGTAGATTAAAGGTCTGATTTCCCATTTGGTGCAGGATTTTGCTCTCTGGGCTGCCAGGAGTTCAGCCAGCTCAGAGTGTTAAATCACTTGCCCAAGGTCACACAGTTGGAATTTGAACTGGCTTGTTGCCTTTATAAACACTTGATTGGGCTGGAAAGAAGGAACTACAGAAAAATATACTAAGTGCAAATGATGTATGTGGTGGGTGGTTTTTACTACTGTTGTTTAATTACTGTAGTCTGTACTCACTCCCAGCTGACACTCTGGGGGATTTTCAGAGGCTGTAAATCCCACCTGAGAGTGCTCATCTTTCTCCAGAGGAACAGCTGGCAGATTCAAACTGCCTGCCTTTGGACTGACAGCCTAACTCCTTACTACTCCTCCACCGGAGTTCCTTAGGAACAACATGGCTTCTGGAATTCAAAGCCGCATTCCACTCCTATCTACTTTAGGAGGCTGAAGGAGGAAGGGCCTCTGCTTATCAGAAACAAGAGGCAGTGGGAGCATGTCACTCTTATAATAGAGGAGATAGGGGTGTGCTGGAACATGAGGGTGGTGAGCTTCAGGCCTGAGCAGGGCACTTTCATGTTCACCTGTTTTTTTATAAGTCACAGGGAGATAAGAGTTGAGAAACAGGCACTAGTGCTGAAAAAAAAATGTTGAATGGTTACTAATCCTTTTTAATCTTCTACTTTTTAATGTAAAAAAAATGGAGTGTCAGAAGGGACAGGACTTGCGTGCAATCATACAGTGAGTCAGGTACACAGTCCACAGCCAGGACTTGATCCTGGGTCTCCTGACATTGTGTCCAGTGACCTGTCCCCTCCCTATGAGTCATCACCCAGTAGCTTGTTAACATGAATCTGTGAAGTAGAAAAATGCCTGCTAAGCCAGAGTCATGTCAGTTTGCACAGCCAGATTCAGGCTGGGATTTTGCTTTGCGAAAACTCTTTTCACATTTGGGAGACCTCCGCAGGGTGGAAGGGCGCTACTCCCAAATCAAGGGAGTCTGCGAACCACTCCTTAAATCTACACTAACAACAAAAGCAAGCAGCCAAGTACCCATGGGGCTCGGCATGGGGCTCATCACCCAGCACAGATGAGCTTAGCTGGAAGGCAGTGTGGGTTGGTGCAGAAAGAACTCGTGTTTCAGGGATGACAGACCCAGGTTATGGTCTGTGATCAGCTGTGTGATTACAGGCAAGGCTTTTGAGTTTTCTGGCTCCGTTGTGTATGCTATATATGAGCATGATACTATCAACCTTGCAAGAAAAGATTTAGAGATAATGATGAGGTACGTGCGCCTTGCACCCATTACACACAGTAAAACGGTGACTATTTTTATCATTAATGGGACTAGAGTAGGGTGGAACTACACTTTCTGACTTGCCAGCACACAGTTGTGCCTCCCGAACCACACCCAGCAGGGACGACTTCTACTCAAACCTATGGAGGCCAGAGTTTTCCAGTTTATCTGAGGTAGCATCCATGCCATCCAGTAACTTAGAGCTATGGAGGAGAAACAATTACCAGCCCGAAGCTAGAGTAGAAGGGTGAACCAGGTACTCGTGTCTCGAAGCTAGAGTAGAAGGGTGAACCAGGTACTCGTGTCTCAGGCAGTCAAAAGTGGAGCTTTTCAGAATGGATGCGAAGCTTATTTCCTTCCTTAGAAAGTAACACTCCCAAGTGGACTCTAAAACTTACTACTGTTGAGTGACAGCTCACCCTCCAGCAGGTTTTTGGAGGTTGTAAATCACAGGGGAAGAGACTGCCCACCCTTCTCAAGTGGAGTAGCTGGTGGATTAGAATTGTCTGCCATTGGGTTGGCAGCACAACTAGGCCACTGAGCTAAATTACCTACATTGTGCCCTGAGAGCTGCTTCCAGGAGGGGCTGAAGAAGAGCTTCAAGGACTGAATCTTTGTGTTATGATCTGCTAAGGATTCCAGAGGCCTTGGCATGAGGACTGGGAACTGCTGCCAGCTCAGGCAGGCTCTGCCACTAGCAGGGGAGGAGGCAATCAGTGAGTAGGGCCAGCTGGGCAGAAGGTGACCAGTGCTGACAAATTAAAAGGTCCAGAGAAACCCAGGATAGCAGCTATGGCCAGTTCTGGAAAGCAACACAACAAAGTGTTTGCTTGTTCACACAATTTGCACTTCCTGAATACCTATGCTGGGCTGGTGTTAGATGCATCTAACAATAAAGGTGAATTAAAGGATTAAAAGGATTAAAGAGAATAAGATCTAGGTCTTACAAAAGAATTTACCCATTCCTCTGACTCCTAGAACACTGTGCCAAAGAAGGTCCTTAAAGCTTGCTGGTCTCTCATTGGCATGGTGGTCAAACTGGGCTCAGAGAAGGGTAGACACTGGCTCAAGATCATACAGTAGTGGGGATGGTTGCATAACATTATGAGCAGAACTAATGTTGAATTAGACATGTAAGAATGTTGAAATAGCAATTTTTTGTCATAGATAAAATAATCTCTTTTTTTTTTTAAATGTAGCAGTGACAGATCTGGGTTTAAAATGCGGGTCTCCAGTAATAAATACTATCTGCCATTGTCCCCTTAATATTTTAAGGATGGATCCCCAAAATTGCTTACTACTGCTGGTGAGCAGTGTCCAATACTGGGATAGTGAAGAGTTCTGGGTGATCAGGGGTAGAGGATGGGGAGGGAGAAATGGAACTGTCTCTAAACTTTGCAAGTGCAGGCAGCAGGGCGAGACAGAAGTGAGTTCATGCTGCATTGTCAGTAGCGGTCAGTTTTCCTTATCTAGTAAAAGGGGACTTAAACGGACCTCAATGGGTTGTTGTAAGAACTGGGCCAATGCAGTAGCGCACTTTCAGGACTAGCACAAAGCATGTTATTGTTTTCCAA